CGCTCACGGAGTGAAGTAGGAATACAAAGCGACATGGTAACTGACTTGCAATAATCAGCCATCGGTGAGTTAGTGCATATCGATCACCGTTAAAGGTGTGTAGCAACAGCGATTTATTTTCTCAATATTCAGCTAGTCGACTCCAATCGGCAGGACATGATTCGTTGCAATCTCCATGATACATCTTCTGAAGGTTCCTTTGTGCCATCTTGAAACTTGTTGTCCCCATCTTGTCCATACTCTGTATAGCTCCACCATCTAATCATGTACATTTACACTGATCTTTTTTACACACGAACGAGCTTAACTCGTTTCGCCTGATACAACAGATCAAACCAAGTTATAATTGAACATAAATCAAGAAAAATATTTAGAATTACAATTAGATGCCTGATGCAACAAATCAAGCTAAAAAAGACTTTCAGGACCAATCTGTAGTACTGACCTTGCGGTGCAATCTATGTTGGAAATCATGAAGCAAAAATACCTAAGTAATACTCTACATGATAGAGGCGTTCTCCTCCTGTCCTCCTACTTTCTCCTTCTCATGAATCTAGGGGAAGATATCGTTGATGTAGGGCGGAAGCGCAGAGGCTGTCTTGAACAGCAGCGTGCCTGAGACACTGGTTGAATCGTCATGTAACCGGCAAGCTGACCAGTTGCGTCACTCGAGGTCGAGGTCGTGCAAGGTCCCTGTTCCTCAAGGACAAGATCAAGGGAGCCCTAATGCCTGCGTGATTTGGAGCAATAGATTGCAATTAGCATACCAGATCCTCTCATCTCCTCTTCTCCTCTTCTGAAATCCGACCCTCTCATCTCCTCTTCCACCAACACGGATACCAAATCGAGTAAGTGAATCTATCAAAAAATAGGGGATGCATGGAAGGGGGAGAGACACATACCTGTAGAGGATAGACCTAACATCGCTGGTGAGATTTTATGCCTTGCCATGATCTCTATTTTTTTGGTGCGAGATTTGGAATTTGTAGCGATCCGGGCGGCTCGACTTCGATAGAGATGTGCTAATTGGCGACTCACTCCAGCGGCAAGCACATGCTTGCCATTTTCCATCGTCTCTCTCTGTACGGCGGTGACCTCACCCAGCGATCCACATCTCAAGGCCTAGGCCGAGATTGGGAGAGGTTGGCATGGAGAGAGGTGGGATGCGGTTCGCGGTGGGGAGGGGAGGGGGCGGGGCGCGATGGTGAACAGAGAGCCGTATCGCGACTGTCCATTTGGCATTAGACCTCAACCCGCATTAATAACCAAGAGACCTCCGATTTTGTTCTCAGAATAGCGGCCCACACAGCCACACAGGAGGTGCATCGCACGGCCAATAACGACCAATCTATGCCATCAGACGGCCAAAATCAATGAAGGCGTGAGAGGGCTGGAAAAGTGCTCGGTTATAATGTCTTTAAATTATAAGACATTTATAGAGGTAGAGCTACATGTGGCTCTTTGTTTCCCTATGCCTCCCACGACGACATGCTCGAACTGGTTCCCCTTGAAGAGAAAAAAAGGAAATAACATTGTACCATCAAGTTCTTCATATATCTTTAGTGGGCGATGTTACATTTCAGTTTGATTTTGGCACGAAGAAGATAGGGACTGCATACTGCGATTTATGCTCAATGACAATGATGAGTCTGAGACGTATCTAATCAGTGTGAGTCCTCCTATACATTGAGTACAGTGGTATTCAAGCCCTTGTTGCAGGCCAACAAAAACACTGTGTAGTTCCATCGGCATATATAGCAGGCCTGTGGAACCCCAATGTAAAATAATCAATTCTACATGTCACTCTCTGTTTCCCTTTGCATCCCAGGCCTACAGGATCAAAGTGGTTCTCCCTTGAAAAGAAACAAGGAGAGAACAAGATACTACCGAGTATTCTACTTAGTGGTGTGTGAGTTTTGACACAAAGAAGAGAGAGACCTATAGAATGAGACAGGTGCCTTGATGGTGAATGAAAAGTCTAAGAGTTGTATAGACCGAGTGCTCTTTTAGTTTCTACTCAAACCCATAATACTTGTTGTAGACAACGGCGGTTGGATGAACGATAAAGCTTACTTCATTGCTACCAACTACCAATACAAATAGTAGCCTTTCTCTCTTTGTTTGTGTTTAGAAATGCATGGAAGATGCTCTATTGAAGTGCCATGTACTCTTATCAATTTTTTTCTTCAAAAAGTAGGATAATCTTTGGCATCTACATCAAGCGATGCACAAAGTCATTTTTATTAAATTATTCAACAACGTTTGATAAAAAACAGATACATGGATCAACTCAAAGCCACCTTCCCGACGATCTGTCGCTACACCTACAAACCTACTAGCTTGATGATGTGCCCGGGCCACACTCCAACGCACATAATCTAATCCAGTGGCCTCACCAAGCCGCGGCGAGCCGAGGTCATCAACCGGTCTGGCAGACTCTTAGCGCGCACTACATGCGCATGCTCCAAAGTCCGCCGCCACCATCTTCCGTTGTTCCAACCTTAGAAGAGATCCCCGTATTGACCTTGCTAGGTCTAACTGTCGTTGATGCCACCATGATGCTAGACAACGCTATCACCCTACGCGCATCCATCAACACACGTCCATCGCCAAGACCCCACTGTGCCGCATCGCTGAGACCCGCTTTCGTTGACACGGTAGACGCCACACCGCACCACGTCTTGATCCAGATCATCGCCATCACCAACCCAAATGGTGTCCATTAGACAACTATCTCCCAAGATGGAGCCTTCAAGAAATGAATGATGCCAGAGACACCGTCGCCGCCCACCGCGGTTAAGGTTTTCACCCGGGAGACAAATGACATGATGGAGGTGGAAGCAGAGCTGACGAACGTCTCCATGGAGAAAAAATGGTGCCCACAGGCGTCGCCACCGTCATGCCCGAGCAGTGTCGGCTAGGGATTTCTCCTGATTTGAATCCCCACCTCCATCCCCATCTTTATCGAGGACTGGCAAGTTCATACGGAGGAGTACACCGAGTAGGGAAGAGTGAAGCGCACGATCCAGTTTCAAGAACCATCGGGCAAACACGACCATCGGTCACACGACGACACTACAAAGTGAGGCGGATACATCGTGCGGATCAGTCGCCTTCGATCCAGGTGTCCACCAGCACCGAGTACGACCCTGTCGCCGACCACATGGACCTCCCCGTCGCCCTCGTCCTTGGTAGTCGTGTGGCTTTAGCCGCAGTGCCTCGGGAGGCGACGAGAGGGGTAGAGGGGAAGGGCGAACGAGGGATCTGAGATGGGGAAGGAGAAAATGGTGGCGGTGCTAGGTTTCACGAGTGTTTGAGGGATCCTTATGTCATGGACAATCTCGATCCTTATCTTGTGGCACGTGAAGGAGGAGGGCATATGCCAGGAAGTTGCTACATGGTATCTTTATCGTGGGTGATCATAATTAGAGCATCTACAACCAGACTTGGCACCCCCCCCCTCCCTAAACGTCTGCAGACACGCCTAGACGCACCCGCGGTCAGTGACCGATCACCTCTCAAATTTTCAATGCCACAACCAGGTACCTCATTTAGCAAAGCCCAAATCCATAAAACCACATGCATCATAAACTAACTCTACGATCATCTATGACTACTATATCAATACATGCCATTGAACACCCTAGCCAGTCGATGATGCAAACAGGGGAGATGGAAAAAGAAAGCAAGAACAGACGAATTGATGGTGAGATCGTGGAGCTCATACAACCAGTGGGTTGTCTGCAGATGAGTTGTCAGCAGATGCTACTGAAGAGGCGGCGTCAGAAACTTTAGTCCACAATTTTGTCATCGCCACTACAAACCTCTCGTTGACCACAAAAGTAGCACGAACAAGAAACAAATCCAAACAAAAACTGAAAGAGCGATCTGTATGGGGAAGGGAGGGGAACAGGGGAGAGACGCATGTAGGATGTGGGATGAACTGTTGGGGATTGGAATACATAGGCGGAGTTAGTGGGGATTTACAGGTGCGGGGGCTGTTTCTAGGGTTTGGTGGTTTCCTCACGTGCAAAATGGGACGGGCTAACGAATTGGGCTGTCGCACAACACGGGTTAGCCCACGCTTGGACGCGTCTCTGCTCGAGCAACTCTTTGTTATCTTACACTCTTATCTAAAAAAGGGTCTAAAAATGGCGTAATGTTACGCTCTAATAAAACAACAGAGATTGCATTTGATATTTTTCTTTCAAAAATCCAGTTTTTATTGAAATTTCTGAAAAATACACACATACCTGTACACACACACACACACACACACACACACACACACACACACACACTTCTCCGTAAAAATTCATGGTGAAATATATTTTTACGGGAGCTACACAAAATAACAAAATCATGTATTTCTAGCACACGTACTATTCACTATAAAAGTACACGATTTTTTTTGAACAACTTACATCAAAACGTATTTCATAATAAAGAGCTAATCTCTGAGCAGATATTTACCAGAGTAAAGATAAAAATTCACGATTACAAATTCCCTATCCTTGCATACGAAAGTCTGTCAGCTAAAGAACAACTCTTCATCTTTTCTTTGTTTTTGAAAATGTTTGTTGCTGCTAATGTAACAAGTTCCAAAACTTGTCCATTGGCACTGCATAACCCGTTCTAAAGATGCATACATGTTAGATTTTTGCAAGAAGATAAAAAGTTGAAGTCAGGTGAACATCATGAGCTTGAAATTCAATGTAATAATCATGCAACCCCAGTACTTCAGTACAGTTGCCACAAAAAATACTGTTTCACCTTGTACAACAAAATTTAGCTACACAACACACCGACAGAAATTATACAAACGATTTTCCCTTCCCACGCATGAAACTGTACAATTTGTTACGTGGATGCCAGTATCCATCCCTTCCATTGCGGTGTCTTAGCACGGGGGAAACCTGACTGAACCGGTCTGGCGAGGCCAGGCATACACAGCTTGGTAATTACACTTGGACAAGAACCTGAAACAAGCCAGGCGGCTACTATGAAACAGCATCGGTAGAATTCCTATCACTGGACGAATGATGCGAGTCATCAACAATGCTAACAATGGGTGCTTCCTGCTGGTCCTGCTGGTGGTGAGAAGGCTGTAGCACATCGGATGGGATGTTGATGCCAGCAAAACCGACTAATACAGCAGCAGCTCCGATGTAGTTCAGCAGTTGGGGAGCATGACCAGTGAGCGTGTCCACAAGGGCAGCAATAGGAACTTGGATCGTGAGACCGGCTGTAGCAACGGTGGTTGTTGTGAGAAGAATTGCTTTTGCCCATAAGTAGTCACTTAGAACATTATCTAACAAACCTGCAAAGAATTAAACAGCTCATAGATTAGTGACAATTCCCAGTTAGCGGCTCTACAAGTCATTTCGATTTGGTTTGTTTCAATGTCATGTATATAGCACTCATTAATAGCAGTCAAAAATTAATCATACAATCATTCACTATTATAGCTGACATAAAGGATGAGCACCCCAGGTTTCTAAAGAATAGCAACAGGCATGTAAGTGAATAAATGTGTGAAGAGCCGACCTACCTTTCCCAACAATCAGGCCAACTTGCTCCCATGTCAGTGTGTGGAACGGCTCCAGCTTGGCAAAATTTAGCACCAACGCAACGGGAAGGAAAAACAACATATTGAACAGTCCCAGGAATCCAAGAAACTGAGCCATACTCACTTGGCCTTGACCTTCTTTCTCATCAGGCAACTTTTTCCGTATCAAGGTGATATACACGGCATATAAGCCAGCTGAAACAATAGAAAGGAAGTCTCCAAGAAGAGGATTTGTGGCAACAGCATTCAGTGTACTGCCTGAATCAGCAAGACTAACTATAATTGTTCCTGCTATGCAGAGAAGCACGCTGATCAGCTTCAACCATGTGAATGTTTCTCCAAGAAATACCAATGCAACCAGGAAAGTGAAGAGGGTAGACGTGCTGCTCAGGATCGTGTTTGACTGAAAAAGCAGGGAAATATTGTAAGCCAGTTATTGATGATAGGACTAATATGGAAGCAGTGTACAGCTTTTCTTAGTATCACTTACTGTAACAGTGGTGTATCTTAGAGACAGATTGAATGTAAGCTGTGCGAGAAACCAAAAAGGGCAGACTAGCATGCTGACTCTGGCTGTACGAGCACGCGTCCAGCGCCCTTTTGCATCCAACCCCTTGCTGCAATCTGCAACACCTAGCTCTGTATGGATAGGGAAGTTTGCATTTGAAGTCAAATTGTCTTCTGACAGGGGTGAGGCTGCATTGCCCTCCTGCCCGCTTCTCTGTAGAAGATTCACACTCTCCAGATCCGCAAGCTGCTGCAGGTCTGCGCCATCCTTGCCTTTCAACTTTGACCACAGGTTGTCGATAGAATCCTCGAAGTAGCGAGCGAACTCAACTATGGGGATGTAGACAATAAACAGAGAATTGCATATGTACGTGATCAAGAAGGGGGAAACACCGCCATCCACGACAGACTGAACGATGTAGCTCGCAGCGATCCATATGCCCGCGATAGCGACGATGTAAATCAGCCCTAAACACCACCTCCAAGTGTCGTTGCTCATCATGTTGCCCCACTTGCTTCTGCTACTTCTGCTGCTGCCGGGGTCATCAGCACACTCCATGTTTCCTATTAGAGCAAAAAACAAGAATTAACATTTGGCATGATACCTCAAACAGCAATTCCGTGTGGACAGCACGGCTTTGGTAACCCAATCCTGGAAGGAACTTGGGTTGCAGCTGCAGCAGGTAAGCGACACGCATAACTTGAAATAGAAATCCTAGGATAAACCCCATAACAATCGGTCCAACAACCAGAATTCATGCCGAGTTTTACGCCGAAAATTCAGTAAGCGCGCCGCTTCCTAACAAACTTTCTGTGCCCAATCGCCTAACAGCAACGAGCCATGCGTAATTACTGACCCATACCTCCGCAGCCCCATGGGCTGGGCATCAACTACTGAAGCAGCGCAAGGCAAGCAACCTTCTGCTTCTAACTTGAACCTCTACCACCAGAAATCAGCGAATTTCTCTAGCATGATACAACCAAGGATGGGGGGAAGCTACAATGGAGCCGTGCGTTACCTGGCGCGGAGACGGAGTCGCGCTGGACGGCGGAGGAGCCCATGGATCCGATCTCTACGGAGTTCGCCACCTCTCCCGGCCAATTCGGATCCCGCCTCGTCTCTCTCCCTCCCCTGTACCTTCAGCTACCGCGACTCCTCAGCGAGCCGCGCACGGCACCCACGCGGCCCGAACGGCGGAGCGGGGGCACGCGGCGAGCCTCCGCGACCGTGCAGCCGGCGGGGGGCACGGCACCGGCGACGAGGAGGGAGGGGGGAGCCGCTCGCCGACGGGGGCCACGCGGGATGCGGACCCGCTCTCCGCTCGGAGGCTGGTTAAAGCAATGCGCGCTGAGGCTCTCGTTGGGGGTGGAGGTGGAGGCGGAGGCCGCTGCTCGCCGGAGACGCCGCGGCGGCCAGGAGCGGCGGGTGAATCTGGACGGAATCGCGCGCCGAATGTTTTTTTTCTCTCGCTCGGTGGGGTACCGCGTGGTGGTGCGGTGCGGGCGGGTGGCCTCGGGTCTCTTGTGGTGGTGCGCGGGTCGCTTCGTTCGTTCCGGAAGTGGGTCCCGCTGTCAGCCTCAGGCCTGCCACCTAACTCGAGTATTTATTGTTTCATGATTTTTGACGGATAAGCCAGTGTCGTGGAACACGTGGTGATGGCGATCCGGATTGTTTTGATGAGAAACCAAACGGGGAATAAAAAAAAACAGGGATGTTGTGCCTAATTCTTTTTATACTGTATTAAAACAATTTTATTGGATGTGTGCATCTTAACTATGCAGAGGCCGGGTGTATACTCGTTGTGTTTGTATCTTCTTGATGCTTCATTTTGAATTAATAAAATTCATCTTTTATAAAAAATAGAACAACTCCAACGGGCCGACCCAAACGGACGATAATTTTGTCCGCATTTTGTCCGTTTGGGTCCGTCAGGCGGACACGAACGTCTGCTTCCGCGTTTGGGTCGGCGCATGCGCCCAATGCTGGCCCGACCCATTTTTGACGGGGCGAGAAAAAAAAGAATACATGCATATTCGAAATAAAAACAACATTAATTAAACATTAAAGCCGGCCACGAAGGCCGACGAAAGTCCACGCGTCTACATTTGCATTAATAAAAACTAAAAATGAACTAAACTACGGGGCGGCGTGCTGCCCTAGGCGTCGTCGTTGTTGTTCTTGGGGTCCGTGAGGTCGATGAGCGTTGGGCAGGGCCGACCCAGGGGAACGCCGTGTTCCAGAGGGTGTTCATGTCGGGCGCGGGCTGTGTCGCCGCGACCTGGCACGCTTCCTGCTCGGCGTCGCGCTGCTCGTCCTCGGCGTCGCACTCGAGCATCTCGAGGTGCTTGCCGTGGCGGCGCTCCTCGGCCAGCCGTCGCTAGCGCCAATGCTCGAGGTACGCCGCCTCCTACGCCAGCGTCGCCCAAACCCAGACCGATGGCGCCTGACCCACTCGTGCACTACTCCCGTCCAGAAGTAGCGCTCGATGGGGGATGGCTCCGGCTTGGCTTTGACATGGGACGGTGTGTGAACCGGCGGTAGGACGCAGTCGCTCGCCGCGGAGAGGGCCGTGGCCGCCTCGTACGCCGCCTCCTCTTCCTCGGCCGCCGCCGCCCTACGTCGGTCGTCCTCCTCGCTCTCCCGGTAGACGGCTGCAAGGGCCACCTGGTAGGCGGCCTCCGCCGCCTGGTCCTCCTGTCGGACGATGAGCGGAGGCGGTGGCACGACGCGGTCGATTTCGTGAACGCAGCGTCGCCTTGCCTCGCCTCCTCGTGCTCGAAGGCGAACTAGCGCGCCCAGTTGGGCGAGTCGGTTGCGTAGGCGGAGTCGCGATGCTGCTCCGACGTCAGGAGCGCCCGCCGGCGCCGCACCTCCTCCACGTGCGCCCTAGCTGACCGCGGCGCCGCCGGTACTGGGATCCTCTCCGGATCCAGGTGCCAGCGTGCGGCAGGGTGGCGTCGGGGTACGGGAGAGGCACACGGTGCTGCCAGTGCCACTCTGCCTAGTGCACTAACACGTTGACGCGCTGCCTCGACCGGCGAGCTGGCACCGACGGAGGCGGGAGGAACTCCGAGGGAAAAGGCCTGGCGGCGGACTTGCCCTTTGGCCTTGCTGTTGCTGCCGGCGCCGGAGAAGAGCCCCATTTGGCACGGCTGGGTTGGCTAGGGTTGGCTAGGGTTTGCTGGTGACGGGGGAGCGAGTGTGGCTAGATGGGGACGGGGGCTGGCTGGAAGCGGTTGAGGGCGGCCCTGCCGCACGGTCGGCATAAAAAATGACGACCGCCGTCGCTGACGTGTGGGTCCGAGGTCATAAATTAAGCTGACCAGGAAGGTCGCAGGCAGTTGGACGACCGCCAGGTGGGGCTGTGGCGGACACCGAGAAGACGCGCGTGGCGTCCGTTCCGCGTCCGCGCCGACGCATTTGGGGCGCAAATTTGGGCCGCAAATGCATCGGCGCGGACGCGAAGCGGCTCGATTTGGGTTTAGGACGGCGCATTGGGCCTCCTCTTTTGTCTGCTATTACGTCTCCGTCGTATCTACTTTTCCAAACACTTTTGCCCTTATTTTGGACTCTAACTTGCATGATTTGAATGGAACTAACCCGGACTGACGCTGTTTTCAGCAGAATTGCCATGGTGTTATTTATGTGCAGAAACAAAAATTCTCGGAATGACCTAAAACTTGACGGAGACTATTTTTGGAAATAATAAAAAATACTGACAAAATATCAAGACCAGGGGGCCCACACCGTATCCACGAGGGTGGGGGCGCGCCTGCCCCCTGGGCGCGTCCCCCTACCTCGTGGGCCCCCTGGAGCTCCTCCGACCTCAACTCCAACTCTATATATTCGTGTTCGGAGAGAAAAAAAATCAAGGAGAAGGATTCATCGTGTTTTACGATACGGAGCCGCCATCAAGCCCTAAACACTATCGAGAGGGCTGATCTGGAGTCCGTTCGGAGCTCCGGAGAGGGGAATCCGTCGCCATCGTCATCATCAACCATCCTTCATCATCAATTTCATGATGCTCACCGCCGTGCGTGAGTAATTCCATCGTAGGCTTGCTGGACAGTGATGGGTTGGATGAGATTTATCATGTAATCGAGTTAGTTTTGTTAGGGTTTGATCCCTAGTATCCACTATGTTCTGAGACTAATGTTGCTATGACTTTGCTATGCTTAATGCTTGTCACTAGGGCCGGAGTGCCATGATTTCAGATCTGAACCTATTATGTTTTCATGAATATATGTGAGTTCTTGATCCTATCTTGCAAGTCTATAGTCACCTACTATGTGTTATGATCCGGCAACCCTGAAGTGACAATAATCGGGACCACTTCTGGTGATGACCGTAGTTTGAGGAGTTCATGTATTCACTATGTGTTAATGCTTTGGTCCGGTACTCTATTAAAAGGAGGCCTTAATATCCCTTAGTTTCCGCTAGGACCCTGCTGCCACGGGAGGGTAGGACAAAAGATGTCATGTAAGTTCTTTTCCATAAGCACGCATGACTATATTCGGAATACATGCCTACATTAAATTGATGAATTGGAGCTAGTTCTGTGTCACCCTAGGTTATGACTGTTATATGATGAACCACACCCTAGGTTGTGCCTGAGGGCTATGTTATGGATGAAGAAACTAAAAGAGATTTCCTTGCTTGGAATGATAGAAGTGATCTTAAGAAATTATTAGCTAAGCTTAAACAAAAAACTCTGAATGCTAGAATGAAATATGATCCCGCTTATGCTACGTCACCTATCTTTGTTACTGATAAGGATTATGAATTCTCTATTGATCCTGATATAATTACTTTGGTTGAATCTGATCCTTTTTATGGCTATGAATCTGAAACTATTGTGGCACATCTTACTAAATTAAATGATATAGCCACCCTATTCACTAATGATGAGAGAACTTGCTACTTTTATATCCTTAAAATATTTCCGTTCTCATTAAAAGGTGATGCCAAGATATGGTTTAATTCTCTTGATCCTGGTTATGTGCGTAGTCCCCAGGATATGATCTATTACTTCTCTGCTAAATATTTCCCTGCTCATAAGAAACAAGCTGCTTTAAGGGATATATACAATTTTGTGCAAATTGAAGAAGAGAGTCTCCCACAAGCTTGGGGGAGGCTTCTCCAATTACTTAATGCTTTGCCTAATCACCCTCTTAAGAAAAATGAAATACTTGATATCTTTTATAATGGACTAACCGATGCTTCCAGAGATTACCTAGATAGTTGTGCTGGTTATGTTTTCACGGAAAGAACACCGGATGAAGCTGAAATTCTATTGAATAATATGTTGACAAATGAAAATAATTGGACACTTCCTGAGCCAACTCCTGAGCCTATTCCTAAACCAACTCCGAAGAAAAGGGGTGTTCTATTTCTCAGTCCTGAAGATATGCAAGAGGCAAAGAAATCCATGAAAGAAAAGGGTATTAAAGCTGAAGATGTCAAGAATTTACCTCCTATTGAAGAAATACACGGTCTTAGTTTACTGCCTGTTGAAGAAATATATGGTTTTAATCCATCACCTATTGAAGAAACACATGGTCTTGATAACCTGACACATGTAGTAAAGGTAATTTCTCTCTATAGATATGATAAAGCTGAAATCCCATTTACTAAGTTTGCTAGCCCATGCTTAGATGAGTTTGATAAATTTATGGTTAAGTAAGAAGACTTCAATGCTTATTTTGGTAGAGAATTAAAACGTAGTGCTGATATGCTTGAACACTTGGGTGATTATATGGCTAATGTTAAAGGTGAACTTAAACTTATTAGTAAACATGCTTCTATGGTTACCACTCAAGTAGAACAAGTACTTAAAGCTCAAAATGATTTGCTCAATGAATTGAATAGTAAGAATAATTACTATTCTGTTAGAGTGGCTACTAGAATTGGTAAAACGACTCAGGAACCTTTGTATCCTGAAGGCCACCCTAAGATAATTATGCAAGATTCTCAGAGAAATAATATAGATGCACCTAGTCCTTCTAAAAGGAAGAAAAAGAAAAATGATAGGACTTTGCATGTTCTAGTGAACCTATTGCTG